GGGCGGCTGCTCGGTGCCACCCACAGTGATGTTGAAAGACTGAGGAAGGAGGGAGGGATGAAGTCCTAATATCAGTAAGATAAACTCAGCTGCAGAGGCCAGTGCATGTCAGCAGGCTTGTCCAGTCCAGGGAAGAAACGGTGTCCTTGCATCAGTTTACATGGGGGCACGGCCGGGTAACGGAGGCTGCAGGTGGAACGGAGGCTGCTGCTCAGCTGACCTCAACGGAAGATGCTCCCCGATTCTACCAGGTCGGCCCACTGTGACCCCAAGGTCGTTCAAGGTGGACGAGGAGGGCAGGAGAGTCACGTGCAGGTGCCTGGGTGCTGGTGTGGGGACGATGCCACCGCCACTGCTGGCCGAGAGGATGGAGGGCCCTGGGAGCTGGGAAAGGCAAGAGGAAGGGCTCTCCCCGCCATCTCCCGGGAGCAGCGCAGCCTGGCGTCCCCAGAATTAGCTCAATGACTCTATTCTGGGCTCTGCCTCCCGGAACTGAAGGCAAGAAATCTGTGGTTTCCAGCCACCGAGTAAGTGACGCTTCGTGCAATGATGATAGGAGGCAACACAGTGACTGAAGAGGCTCCCCCGGTTGCTGTGACACTAAGTACCAGCCCGAAGCCCACAGGGAGCCGATGACACCCTGGTTTCCACGGCGCTGACGCCAGGCTATCGCCTAGGAGAACCGGGAGGCACCGCACGGCCTGCTTTGGGCCAGGGCCTGCCCACCAACTGAAAACAGGAGAGGAAAACAGCAAAGACATTCCAGTTCATCTGCTGGTATTTGCGCAGCAAACACAACACCACACGAGCCGGCGGGACTTCTGAGTCACCCGCTCTGACCTCGTTCCGACGGCAGCCTATAAATATGCCCAGCGCTGCCTAAACCCTGGGAAACACAGAAAAGAAGCCGGCGGGCTGGAGGAGGAGCGAGAACTGCACTAAGTGCAAGAAATGCCAGGGCCGCAGGCGGCGGGCACGGCCGAACCCAGGCCCAGAGGAGGAGTGGGGTTCGGCCAGCGGAGGAGAGTGGGGGGCCGCAGGCGGCGGGCACGGCCGAACCCAGGCCCAGAGGAGGAGTGGGGTTCGGCCAGCGGAGGAGAGTGGGGGGCCGCAGGCGGCGGGCACGGCCGAACCCGGGCCCAGAGGAGGAGTGGGGTTTGGCCAGCAGAGTGGGGGGCCGCCCCAAAGGGCTTGCCCAGGTCAGTTGGCACGATGTCCAATACGGTGTGCGGGCGGCGGCACACAAAGCGACCAGTGAACTGCCAAGTGCTGCACAGCCCTGGTAGATGAACATGTTTCCCCATCTTTGTAATGAGCCACAAAGCCTTCCTGGCAGGAGAGGGTGAGAGATTTGCCTGGAGTCTCAGGGCCGGTCCCAGAGTCCCTCTGGCTCTTTCAAGGCCCAGGCCCTAAAGAATGAAACCCACGCCGTGGCTCATTTAATCGTTTACATTTAACAGGTCACTGTTACAGATGATAGGTAGATATAGATATGTGTGTGTGTGTGTGTGTATATATATACATGGTTATTAACTTCAGAGAGGAAGGGAGAGGGAGAGGGAGAGGGAAACATCAATGATGAGATTCATTGACCGGCTGCCTCCTGCACGCCCCACGCTGGGGATGGAGCCCGCAACCTGGGCAAGTTCCCTGGCCGGGAATTGAACCCTGACCTCCTGGTTCATAGGCTGACCCTCAGCTACTGAGCCAAGCCGGCTGGGCAACCCTCCTTTTTCTTTTTGTCTCCCTGTCAATTTTAAAATGTATCTTTATTTTTAAAATAGAAAATACATTCAATCATTGGAATTCAAAGATAAAAGCAGGTAAACAATGAAACCCTCCCTCCCTCCCTCCCACCTGGCCCCGGACCCCGGTGCTCTGTTACCTGGTTGCCGACTGTCAGTCTGTGCGCACACACACATTCACCTTCTCAGCTTTCACGGAAAGGACAGCGGTCTCACTGCTCTGCCCTTTTCCCTGTATTTTCTTGGGGAAACTCCCTCCTGCATGTCTAGAGCTTCCTCGCCTGCTGTTCTCAGTGACTGGTGCGATGGTGTGTACCCGCCAGGTAACTGTGCGACTCCATTTGCCGGGAGACCGCCCGGCAGGAGCTCCTCCGCTCACAGTTCCTCCCGGGTTCTGGAACGGGCCATGGGACAGCCCGCGTGTCAGGGACGGCCCTTATCCAGGACCTGGCTTGCTCCCCCGGCAGGTGCCCTGGCTCAGGTGAGGCCCACAGGCCCACGGACGTGCTGGCCTCACGCAGGTGCCGCGGGTCCTGGCCACGCGCGGGTGCCCAGCCCTCTGGGCGGCTCACAGGGGCATTCGCTCACCGGCAGGGCCAGGCGACAAGTGACCGAACCACAGGCTCCGAACACAGGCGGATTCTCAGGAACACCGTCAGGGTCAGCATTTTTCTCCCTGAGGGAACCACTGAATCGAACATAGCATTTACTAGACCACTCCATTGACCCAAAGCAGGACCACCAAGCTGTGTCGGCCACTCAGTCCACACGAATGTTTTGACTTGGGGCGGGGCTGCACCACCAGCCACCAGAGGCACCGAGCTCGGCTCTGCAGTGAGTGTGTGGCCGTCACCGGGAAATGTCCGTGTGGCCGAGGTCAGGGCCCTGTGCTGCCCGCTCCACCGTCCCAGCCTCAAGTGCCGTTTCACAGCTGGGAAAGCACAGGCGGCAATGGACTTGTGATCGATTATGAACAGAAACAATCAGAGCTCGTGATCCGTGGCTGTAGCTGTGACCTGTGGC